CAACTGATCTCCAGTCCCTCCTCTAGCCCTCCACTCCACTGTGACAAAAATGGGCTCTCTAAAGTACAGGTCAAGCCCCAGCTCAAAGACTGCCAACCCCACTGCCACCCGCCCCCGCACTGCTACAGCAGTTTTGAACGCAGGGTGTAGCTGCCTCTGTTCTCAGAGTTCTCAAGCCAGGGTTTTTCACTGGCTGTGAAGGGACCACCTTCCTCAGAATCACCTGGAGTACTTGTTAAAAGTTGAGCTTCCTAATCCACTGAATCACAATTTCTGGGGGTGTGCTCTGGGAATTTTAATTGAAAGAAAAAAAATCCCAGATGAACTTTGTGTACACTGAAGTTGGGGTCATTTTGCTTGAGTTTTTCCACTGTTTGGAAAAATCTGTCCTATTTTCAACTGCCAGGAACGTACCCCACCACGTTTCATGATCCTGTGTTAGGAGATGGGGTTAGTCTTCCCCTACGCTTGACACCTACAGACACTAACAATCAGGGTTCCCAAAGCAGCCTGTTCCAACTCTTTCAACGACTGACTAAAGGGAACTTTATAGCCACAGACCACAGTTTCCCAGTTTCTCCAAGAGGTTGGGGAGGTGCTGTCCAGGGTCCCTTTCAACTCCAAAATAAGCCATATGACCTTTACGTTGTATCATGTATGTTATGTCAGATCAGAGGTTTCAGTCCTAAAATTCGAAAAACCTGCATTTTACTGTTTTTACTGAAAAAAACATCACTTTTCAAATCCAAAGTAAAACTTTTAAAAAGCATTTCTCATACTACATCCAACTTCCAATTTCCACTAGAGAAGAGCCAAGCAATGGTTAGCCTGCCTGGCACAGATTTTTTTTTTTAATGTCTATTACTAGAAACTTTTTCAAATCTTTCCAGAGTCCAAAGTAGAGGAAGGAGAGGTTTCTAAGATTACAACCTACCAGCAACCTTTTAGCACTCTGTTGCACACTGAGGCCTTCCCATCACTGAATCCTCCCATCATCCCCTTGGAAAGACCAGGAAGTGAATGCTCGGAGGGCTGAAATTGGCCACAGCTGCAGAGCCAGGGTGTAATATGCAAAGGTAGATCTTTGAATTCTGAAGTCCTCCATGTTTGCACTGGACCACAATGAGTTGATGTTGAGTTCCAGATGCAGGGAAGGCAACTGCACCAAATGCAACAATGCTCATGGGCCGTTCCCTCCAAAGCATGGCGGGACTGCTAACTGGCTGGACACACGTCCTCACAGCTTTCCACACTGAGCACACAGGGCAACGGGAGGCAGGGCTGAGCAACAGCCACACGAGCAAAAGCGATGCCAGGGATTTAGTCAACAGAGAGCTAATATGAGTCAACAGTGGGTGCCGCTGCCAAGCACACTAATGGGATCTTCAGCTGCATTAATAGAAGGAAAGCATCTAGGGCAGGCCGAGGGAGGGAGTCCTGCCCTGCTCCAACCAGACCACACCTGGAGGGTCGGGCGAGGCTGGGCTGGGTTAAGAGGAGGGAAGTGCTGTCCAAGGCAGGGCCAGAGTTTCTGAAGAGGACTGGCTCAGGCTGGGACTCTGGTTGGCAGGGCGAGAAAGGGCTCATCTGGAAGCTGGGTTTGTATAGCAAGTCCACTTCAGACTGCATGTTATAGACAGATTTTTTTTAGAAAGATCTTTTTACTCACATTTTGTTTTATCAAAGATTGAAAAGCCGCCGCTGACTATCCACAGCAAAGGTTAAGAACACCCAGGGACCAAGCACAGTGGCTCATGGCTGTAATCCCAACACCGTTGGGGACTGAGGCAGGAGGATCTTTTGAGTCTACAAGTTTGAGACCAGTCTGGGCAATATAGGGAGACCCCATGTCTATAAAAACAATATTTTTTAATTAGCCAGGGGTAGTGGTGCACACCTGTAGTCCCAGCTACTAGAGAGGCTGAGGTGGGAGGATTGCTTGAGGCCAGATCAAGACTGCAGCGAGCTGTGGTCATACCACTGCACTCCAGCCTGGGTGACAGATGAGACCCCATATCCAAAAACAAAACAAAACAAAACAAAAAAAACACCCAAGGATGCCAGATGACTCAACCTACCACCAGAGAAGGGGGCTCGAAGCCCTGTCAGAAGAAACAATTGCTGCTGCTTTTCTCTTTATTATATGTAAAAATTGGCCCATGGCTTTCCCAAGGGAAACTGGACCTGAGGTCCTATATAATCTCAAGTATCAAAGTCTCCAGGAAGTCCTTCCAATTCCCCCATCCCATCCGGCCCCAGCACCCTGTCTGGGTGTGCTAGAATACAAGAAACGTGTTTTCACCTGCATTTCCCAAGAGCCTCCAGGCCACATCTCATTCACCTTTGTGTCTGCAGCACAGAGCTTGGCACACTGGAGATGCCCAATAAATGTGGTCTGGACTGGACTGAGGTGCCACAGCACGGTCACACACTGAGGGTGTTATTGTGTTCCAGGCAATTTCAGAACACAAGTGTCCTGACTAGGGCTAATAAAAAGGTTTATGACAGCACATAGCCAACTTTTAGGAGGTTGAGCAAAGGAATTCTCAAGGCTAACGCAGCCTGAGGGTTTTCATTACAAAGGAGCCACAGTTAGCCTGGCAACGTCCCTGGGTGCCTGAGAAGCCAGTTTGGGGTATCGAGGTCAAAGGTAAATCCTATCTTGCGACAAGCAGCAAGGCGACACCAGGGCCCAGGAAGTGGTAAAAATCCAGGAACACAAAAGAGAATAATGACAAGGGGGGCCAAATGCCAAAAGGACAGCATAAAGAGTGAGCCCAGTGAAGTGAGTCTGAGGAGCAGCAAATGCTCCAAATGCATCAGGGAGCTGCTGGCCGCCTGGCGTTAACCTCGTAACTCAGAATTAATTACAGGAACACACACTCAGATCTGGGAAGATTAGAAGACTGTGATGCAGACCTAATATCTAATAAATCTTTAAATCGATGAGCTGTGCCCACTGGCGATTTTTCTTCATCTTTCCTCCCTGAGAGCTCACATGACACAAGCCAGCATTTGCTTTTTATTTGCCTGTGGAAAGGGGCATATATGTGTGTGCACGTGCATTAAAAAAAATGTGAGCTTCGCTAAGTCACATCATAACGGAATCAAGAAACCTGCCATCCTAGAAATATCTGGGATCAGGGAATTCTTTTGTCAAGCAGCCTTTTATAAAGTGAAGAAACCTTTCAGGATGCAAATGTTCCCTTCCCCCACCCTCCTGTGAGGGCTCCACTGGCTGTAATCAGTCAGCTTTGCTGTCCCAACCTGTTCATTTGTGTACCTGTTTAGATCTATTCACCATACACACCATTTAAGCCTTTCTCTCGGAGCTGACAAGCAACACATTTTATAAACGAATCATCCCCAGGGAACAGATGAGAAAACCACCAGCGAGGAGCACTGTCAAACTTCCCAAGGATAGCATTCCTCTCCCAGATCCGAGATGCAAACTACGCCACATCCTCTCCTAACACAAGCTGCCCACTCCAGAGGCAGCCTGCTCCGCTATCCTCCTCCCCTGCTCTTCAGGCCTCCTCTCCCAGCTGAATAAAAGCTGGAGAGCCCCATTCTTGGGGAGCAGTAACATTTTAATGCTATTTTAAAGTCAACAGCTCTAAGCACCCGAATGTTAGCTCTTTTTCCATCAATAAAAATGCCCCAAAAGGGTATTTTCATGTTCAGAGCAAAATGATATCTTACGGAGAGCACAAAGAACCACAAAAATAAAATTGCCATAAATTGAAACTGTCTCAAAATTCAACCTACACCGGGAAGTGTTAAACTCCAGGCCAGGCAGGATGTGATTTTCCCGTCTGAGACCCTTTTCATATGTGCCTAGTTTTCACACAAAGTCCAAACATTTCTCCCACCCGGGAAGGCCTATACGCTTCCTTGGAAGTCCGCGTATGTTATTTCTTCCCTTGACAGCCTCAAGATGATCTGCAACATTCATCTAAAGCTCAATTACTGCTGTGTCCTCAGTCACACCCGGAGATTCCCGAAGGCACCGTCTGCCGCAGCGCCCGGTGCACAGTGGGCGCCCAGTTAATGTGTGGTTTGATTTGATCTGATCTGGCCCCTTCAGCCAGGAAGACTCACTGGTAACTGGACGCCCTACAGGGAACGGCAGCGCCGGCCTAGCTCTCAGCTGGCACGGGGCGGGGGTGCAACCACCTGTGGGCGGGTGCCCGGGACGCAGGCCCAGGCGTTGCTGCCCTGGGGTGCCCCGCCGACCCCACGCAAGGTGCCCGAGGGGGAAAGTCCGGCGCGCCTGGTTCCGCGGGCACCCCGGGATCGACTCCCAGCGCCCCAGCAAGGGCTCTGCCGGTGCAAAGCGGGCAGGTCCGAGAGAGCCGATTCTAGAGTTAGCTCCCAAGTCACCATACTCCTGCGAGGCTGCGGGGCATGTGGGGCTCCAGGAATGGGAGTGGGGTGTATCCAGAGGGTATCAGCAGAGAACAGAAATGGTCTAACCCCCCTCCCAAACTTGGGGCGCCTGCAGGCGAGAGAGGCTCTCCTCTCTGCTGTCTCACCAAGGCCTGATGGCGAGTCTGCGGGGGACAAGCTGGACACCCCGGGACGGCCTCACATTGATTTGAAATTTTTCTATCCAATAACCCAACATCAGGAAGACCCTGCGGGAAGCTAGGGACGGAAGGGGACACCGGCCACCCGCGGCAGGGGGGCGGGGTCTCGGGACTTGGGGACTGTGTGTACTGGGGAGGGGGCGAGGCCCCAAGGACTAGGTGGGCACCAAAGAAAGCGCAATCCCGCGGCACAATGTGCCAAGGAGGGGACGCAGGCCGAAGGGGGGGCCGGAAGAGACCGGGACGGGTGGTTTAAGAAGAAACAGGGTTAAGGAGTGGTCGGAGAAGGGAATGGGGGAGGGGATCCCCAGGGAAGGGCCAGGGGAGCGCCCCCAAGGCAAGCACCGGAGGAGGGGAAGCTGCCCCAAGGGGCACGGGGTGCCAGTGCTCCAGATCGGCCCCGTCACTCACCGGCAGGTCCACGCTCACTTCGGTCCCGTCGAGCAGGAAGACGCGGCAGTAGAGGGTGGCCTTGGCGGCGCCGGCGGCGGAGATGTGCACGACCGCGCCACCCGTGAGCAGGGGCCCGCCGCCCGCGGGGAACACGCTGCCCCCGGGAGCGGCGGGCAGCGCCGAGGAGGAGGCGGCGGCCGGGCCCCCCCGTGGCCCCCCGTCGCGCTCGTCCCCCAGCCCGGCGGCCCCGCGCCCCACCGCGCCCCGCGCGTAGCGCTGCATGGAGCGGCGGCCAAAGGTCCGGCGCAGGAACCGCAGCATCCTGGCTGGGGGCGCCCCCTGCCTCCGCCCCCTGCGCCGCCGCTGCCGCTGCGCCGCCGCCTGGGAGCGCCCCGCGACGCCGTCAGTGCCCTCGGCCGCCCGCGCCGCCTCTCGCGGGCTGTGGCCCGGGGCTAGCTCGCGCCGAGGCCGAGGCCGCGCTCCGGCCGCCTGCGGGGCGCGCCGGCCGGGCCAGCGCCGGCTCCAAGTGGCCGCGGGCGGGAGGGCGCGCTCGGGGCCGTCCCGCCGCCGCTGCTGCCGCTGCCGCGCGCTCTCCCGGGCCGGCGACCTGCGCGGGCTGCCGAGGGGCTGCTCCCGACGGGCGGCCGCAGGCGGCCGGGGGGGCTGCGGGGGTCGCGGGGGGCGGGCTGCGGGCTGCGGGCTGCTCCCGCGCCGCGCGCCGCGCGCCAGCCGAGGGCCAGCCGGAGCAGGGCGCCTGCGTGCTCCTGGCGCGCTCGCTCCCACTCGCCGCGCCGCGCCCGGGGCCCGAGGAGGCCCCGCCGAGCGCCCTCTCCCAAGGCGCCTTTTCCTGAGCCCGCAGCCCCCGCCTCCCACCTGGGAGGCTGCACCTCCAGCCGCCGCCGCCGCCGCCGCCGGGACTGCAGCACGCCCTCCTCCCTCGGGGCTGCGCCGGGTAATTGCTAGCCGGGTCTGTGCTGCCCCCTGCCGGCAGGAGCTCCCCCTGCTGCTGTAGGTGTGCTCACGTGTGTACACGTAGGTGAGCACACACGTGTTTCCGGCGCCCAGAGCCCTGGAGGCGCCGAGTGCCCCCTCGCACTGATAGGAAAACAGGGCTGCGTGACCCTCTGGGAAGATTTGTCCCGGAAACCAGACAGAGAGAGAATAGCACTAGGTTTCACCTCTTGGAAAAATAGCACTGTTTCCTCTTCCGGAAAAGGAAAAGGAGAGGGGTGGACTAGGTAATCAACAAGGTAATCTACAAGGTCCTTGCTACTTAACTTCTGTCCATGTAAGATCTCAGAGCTGGGAAGGCTCTTTCAGTCATTCCAGTCCAGTGGACTCATTCCACATAAGGAAGTTGAGGCCCGGCGAGGAGAGGAAGTATTTTTCCAATATACTACGCAAGGAAACACCTTTCCTCAAGATCTCAGGTCCAGTATTGAGATAAAGGCCTGCATAAATATCAGAAAAGGTTAGTGAAGTTGAAAATTACTAAGAAGCAGAGTAGATCTGAGGCCCCGAGAAAGAATAGTGTAGGACTCACTGAGAATGTCGAAGACAGACGAAATTGTTTCTAAGCAGTGCCCATCCGGTATACAAGTTCAAGGTCTGCTTCAGAGTGAAGAGGGTTGACCAGTGCTGCTAAATGAGGAATGTGGAAGATGAAGCTGAAAGGAGGTCAGGCCTCTTGGGGAGAATAGCACTACTATTTATCATGCCCTTAATCTTGTGCCAAACACCGTGCTAAGCCCTTTCCATTCATCATCTTACTTAATCCCCACAACAGCCTGGTTTGATAGATGTTCTTACCCCATTGTACAGAGGAGGAAACTGAAGCTTAGAGGGCTTAAGAGACAGGCTCCAGATTCCATGATTAAGACCAGATCTTTTACCAAGCTCCAAAGCTGTTGCTGCTAACCAGTACCTCTGCTGCCAGGCAGAGGTGTGTGTGTGATTGGCAGGCCAGTGAAGATGTCTGAAAGGCCTGGAAAAGGCAGTGGCCACACAGTAAAAGGGACACAGAAAGAGGAAGAAGTGCATATAGGAGGCATTCCAAAACAGACATTTATTAAGGATCAGGCACTGTCTTAGGTGATTTCATGGATGGACTTTTCATTAGTCCACACTCCAATCTTTTCAGGTATTATATGTAACCCCCACTCACATAGGTGGAGTTCGGGTCTTAAGAGAAGTAATATCCTTATCCGAGATCTCAGAGCTCCTGAGTGGCAGCAGCCAGTATCCTCACTCGTTAGCTAAAGTTCCTGTTGTAATACTATGTGGGTCTCCCATGTGACTGTTCTCTGAGAGGGCATCTGTAATTGGCATTCAGATACCCACACTGCTCCTCTCCCCCCACTTGACCTCAGATTGTATTTAATACTACTATAACCACAAGCTGATGTTTAAAGGTAGCCCAATTCTGCTTACTGGTTTCTAGGATAGCCCATTTCCTACTATATAGCCCAGGAGCACTGTGGCACACTGACTAATAGCCACCCAAAGATGTCCATAGATCAATTGCTAGAATCTGTGAATATGTCCCTTTATGTGGCAAAAAAGACTTTGCAGGTGTGATTAAGTAGGGAGATGATCTTGTATTAACCCAACATAATTGCAAGGTCCCTATAAGAGGGAAGTGGCTGGGCACGGTGGCTCACGCCTGTAATCCCAGCACTCTGGGAGGCTGAGGCGGGCAGATCACGAGGTCAAGAGATCAAGACCATCCTGGCCAACATGGCAAAAACCCTTCTCCACTAAAAATACAAAAATTAGCTGGGCTTGGTGGCACGCACCTATAGTCCCAGCTGCTTGGGAGGCTGAGGCAGGAGAATTGCTTGAATCCAGGAATGGGAGGTTGCAGTGAACTGAGATTGCGAGATCACCCCACCACATTCCAGTCTGGTGACAAAACAAGACTCTGGCTCAAAAAAAAAAAAAAAAAAAGAAGCAGAAGGGTCAGAGTCAGAGAAGGTGTCACAACAATGGCAGCAGAACTCAGCGTAATGGATCCAGGAAACTAGGAATTTGAGTAGCTGCAAGAAACTAGAAAAGATACTGAACAAATTGACCCCTAGAGATTCCAGGAGTGCAGCCTTGATTTTAGCCCACAAGACCTCCAGAATTGTAAGATAATAACATTTGTGTTGTTCTAAACCACTAAGTTTGTGGTAACTTATTCCAGCAGCAACAGAAAACTAATATAAGTGCACTATTAATAATATGGCTGGGTGTGATGGCTCACACCTGTAATCCCAGCACTGTGGGTGGCCAAGGTGGGAGGATCACTTGAGCCCAGGAGTTCAAGACCAGCCTGGGCAACATGGTGAAACCCTGTCTCTACAAAAAAATTTTTTTAACTTAGCCACACATGGTGGCACATGCCCGTGCTTTCAGCTGCTCGGGAGGCTAAGGCAGGAGGATTGCTTAAGCCCAGAAGTTTGAAGTTCCAATGAGCCACTGTACTGCACCAAGGTCATGGCACTGCATTCCAGCTAGAGTGAGAGAGTGCGACTCTGTTTCAAAATAAATAAATAAATACTATTAGTTTGATGCCTTCTGGTTTTCAAAGCCCTCTACTCTCATGATCTCCTTTGGAACTCTCATAGTGCCACCCCTCTCCTAGTGGGTATCATTCAGGTTTGTGATTTATCCATGATCATTCTCTCCCACTAGACTCTAAGCTGCATGAGGATAGGGGTTTTTCACCTTCCCTCCCTCCCTCCCTTCCGTTTGAGACAGGGTCTTGCTCTATCCTCCAGGTTGGAGTGCAGTGGTGCAATCATGGCTCACTGCAGCCTCAGTCTTCCAGGCTCAGGCAATCCTCCCACCTTAGCCTCCTGAGTAGGGTGGGACCACAGGTTCTCGCCATTGCACCCGGGTAACTTTTTGTAGAGATGGGGTTTTATCATGTTGCCCATGCTGGAGGACTTTCATCATTATATCCTCACCCTGCACCTAGCCGGCTGTCTGATAAGTAGCAGGGGGTCAATAAATGTTTGTTGAATGAATGCAGGATCTCATCTCATCTTCATAGTAGCCCTGTGGGGTAGATTTTGTTATTGGCTTTTAGAGACAGGGAAAATGAAGACTGGAATGGAGCTGTCACATTTTTGTCTCCTAACTCCAGATCCCATGTGCTACTGGCAATACTATGTCATCATGAATCACACGGGAACTCCAGATTGCTTTAGTTTTACCTCTACCTCTGTGTGTCAGGCACTGTCACCTAATGGGTCTCATTCCATCCTTATCACAATAGTGATTTAAGCACTATTCTTTCCACCACACAGAGGAAAAACCAAGGCTCAGGCATTCCTTTGACTACATTTTATGTCAAGTTTCAACCTTAGAATTTCTACATTTGATGAGTAAGTTTGCATTTTGTCTGTTCAAGGTATATTATGTGATTCAGTTCTTGCTCTTTCTTAAGCTTTGTCTTTCAAACCTAAAATTCTCTATTCTTGTTATCTGAACTCTATAACCAGCCCTTTGAAGATTTTAATTCCTCTTTCTTGGACCTCTTTTATGCCCAGTGTGAATGGGCCAGAGCTGCACATATATTCTGTTTATCAATGCATCGCTCTTTTATGGGCCTTTTGATCTTCAAATGGTTATTCAGAACCCCCACTGCTATGATCTGATGTTTGTAACTCCCAAAAATGCATATGCTGAAATCCTAACCCCCAGGGATTAGGAAATGGGGTGTTTGGGAGGTGATTAGGTCTTGAAGACAGAGCCCTTATAAATGGAATTTGTGCCCTTATGAAAGAGACTCCAGCTGAGTGCAGTGGCTAGCACCTGTAATCCCAGCACTTTGAGAGACCAGTGGGGAGGATAGCTTGAACTCAGGAGTTTGAGACTTACCTGGATGACATAGTGAGACCCCATCTCTAAAAAAATTTTTTTAAAAATAAGAGACCCCAGAGGCTAGTCCAAAGGTAGAGAGTTATCTCAGTTGAGTGTTCACTGTCAGTTACAGATCAAACTCCTTGTTCCACTCTTTCTCCCTTCTCACTACTGCACTTGTCTAATCAAATATGAGAGAGAGAGCAACCCCAGAGACTCCCTGTCACTTTCACTATGTGAGGACACAATGAGAAGGTGCCATCTATGAACCGGGAAGCAGACCCTCACCAGGCTCTGAATCTGTCAGCACCTTGATCTTGGACTTCCCAGCCTCCAGAACCATAAGAAATACATTTCTCTCGTTTATAATACAAGTTCATGGTTTCTGTTCTACTAGCCTGAAGGAATAAGACACCCAGGATTTCTCCTGCCTTTCTGTCTAGAACTATCTTTGGCTGAAGTTCTCAGGAAATGGTCTACACTAACTTCTAGATGGTTTTCTTGGTCATAAGCAGTAGCTTGACTTCCTTAATCTCATCGGCACCTTTCGGAATTTGATTTCTAGAGTCATCTTCTTGCCTTCTCATTAAAGCTCAACTACCACCTCTTTGCCCACTTCCTCCAGGAGACCTTTCCGTTATCCTTCCCATCACTACTCAAGTTTGTGTCATCCACAAACCTTGGAGAGTTCCTTATGCACTCACTTCATCCAGAGCAATTTTATATGTTAATTAAACAGCTGTCAGCCCTGTCTCTAAGGAACTCCTCTTCAGAAATGTGCCATTTGTCCCTGTCCTTTGTTTCCTGGCTCATTGCCTAGACTCAACAAAATTGTGCCCTCATTTTGTTGGGCTCCGTTTTTTTCACCCATAGAGCAGGATTATACTTTAATGTATGTTCCTATTTACTCCCTTATAAATTTATTCTTTTTTTTTTTTTTTGAGATGGAATCTTGCTCTGTAGCCAGGCTGGAGTACAGTGGCTTGATCTTGGCTCACTGTGACCTCCACCTCCCTGGTTGAAGCGGTTCTCCTGCTTCAGCCTCCTGAGTAGCTGGGATTACAGGCATGCACCACCACACCCAGGTAATTTTTGTAATTTTGG